AGCGAGTAATCCTTTGTTAATTGCTTGAAAACTTTCTTCAAATTATCAAAATTTCGAGGAAAGTTTCCTTGCTTCAAAGTAGAGATGGAGCCCTTTGAGCCACTGCATATAGGTCAGTGACTCAAAATACTCCATCTCTACTAGAAATCGCCAAAAATTGGGTCGCAATCTTTGAAATGCGACGCAAGTTTTGGCAATTTCGCGAGGGACTTGCTCCATTTGGTGCATAGATTCACACTCTATGCACCAGATGGAACAATTCTTTCGCTGACAGCGGGAAACTTTGTCTGAATAGTTTAACATTCAGACAAAGTTTTCCGCTGTCAGAGAGGGAATGGAAGAGTAAGAGGTATATATTCATAATGTATACCTCTTACTCTTCCATTCCCTCAAGAAAGTTCAAAAACTTGGGTGCAATCAGAACTGATTGCACCCAAGTTTTTGAACTTTGTATAAGGAATTGTTGGCTATGATGTACTGATTCATGATCAGTACATCATAGCCAACAATTCCTTCGCAAACAGTGGGAAATTTTAAAATGTCACTTTTTAAGTGTTACTCCCTATTGAAAGTGTCACTTTTTGGGTGTCACTTTTTCGGAAATTCTTATATACTCTGTGTATGGTTTCCTCCTCCCTCAGTGTTACTCCAGTAACAATTTATAGCAAACTTAACGTTGTCTTTAACATCATATCCTTTACCTTTTGTCATTGCTGACCAATCCCAATATCTATGCTTATGCCAACCTGCTTGAGATGTACTTAAATCTATGTAGTGACTGTGTGCAGGTAAATTTTCACCTGAAATCGTTTTACTTCCCCCTGTTTCCTTTGAAGAGTTTGCACAATACAAAAACCTGTCGACTATTTGAGTCCAAGTTCCAAAACCCAGAACTGTTTCTGGTCTGGTAGAGTTCATTGACGTATAAATAGAGCCAACCGGGTAAATAAGATTCGGCAAAATTTGTTTAAGCACATTGAGTTCCTGTCTTAGATGTATAATACTATTGTCATTAGATATCAAAGTATCTACAAGACTTGTTGCCGGTGGTATTGTTGGAGCTTTACTTGGCAAGGTTGTGTTTAGTGTAATATCATCTGCTGTAAAAGTTGTAAAACTTGTATGTGTATGAGTCTTATTTGCTTTCTTCTCTAACTCATCGTTAACATATGTTTTATCCGCTTTAAGGTCTAAACATCCTGAAACCCATCCTGTATCGGCTTTACTTTTTAAAATCTTCGATGTCCATTCATGGTACCAGTCAACCCTTTCTTTCATTTCGTTATCTTTTTCATCCACATATTCCTTATCTGCTTTCTTCTCTAACTTACTAGCCACACATGCTAACTCATCGTTAACATATGTTTTATCTGCTTTCTTTTCAAGGCTAACGTTTAAGTCTGTTATTTCAGATATAGAATGTGTATGTCCAACGTCACTTTTCCTGTTTAAGGTTTCTTGTAAGTTTGTAATATTTGCAATGGTATGTGTATGAGTCTTTTTAGAATATTCGTTTTCAGCTCTTGTCACTTCACTTGACATTTTATTGTCAACATATGTTTTGTCTGCTAGTTCAGGATGAGTATGTTCTTTTGTTGCATAAGCTTTGTCAGCTCTTTCTTCTTCTTTTGCTATTGCATCGTCTACATATGTTTTGTCTGCTTTGTTGTCAACATCTGCTTTCAAAAGAAGTTCATTTATAGGTTTCTCGTTTAAAGTTCCTTTTGTTGGATTTATACAAACAGTATGGTTCTTCTTGTCTTGAAACAGAAACTCATCTGTCATTGGGTTTAATGTCAGTTTTAAGTCACCCCCTTTCAATGACTCAGATATCTTAGAATAGTTTGAAAAGTTTGTTGTGTTCTTATTTAGAGCTTGTATAATGAGTTGTCGGTTGTGTTGTATTTCTCTCATAGACGCTGTTTCATTTGACATTTTTATTCTAGATAAAATATGCTTTCAATAGAAAAAGAAAATTCAAGAGTTGCTACAACTAAACCATTAGATGAACTTTTTACGAATGTCGGTCAAAAGTTTGAGACAGAGACCGTAAAGCATGAAGGCTATCGTTTTGACTACCGTTAAGATGGTTAAGAGACCCATCCGTCACAAAAGCTATTGGCTTTCGTAGAATGAAGTTCATTTCAGAAGCCATACATGGTTTCCCATTTACGGTCGGTTTTGAAGTTCGATACTATAACAAAGAAAAACGTATGTATGAGAAATTTGAACAGGGAAAACTTTTACAAGTTAGTTTGCTTGTAAACTTAGAAACAACTCTTCAAGCTTTTCAAGAAAAAATAAACAATATCTATATCGAATATGCAAACCAGTATAACATTGACGAGGGAGAATACCATCTCGATATTATTTATGACAGGAAAAATGCAACTGTTAAAATCAATAGAATAGAAGACCTTGGAGAAAACGTTTATATTTCTACAAAATATAACAACTTGGCATGGTATAGATTTATGAGGATGTTAAATCAGCCTGCAGAATATCCAGTACACCCGGACTTTTATGAAGTCGAAAACCCTAATGGAACATATGAAAATGTTTTCGACTCAGATGCTATTATCGTTCATGCTTCATTTTCTGGTGCGCAAAACTCTTTTTTATGCTTGGCAAATGACTTTTACGAAAAACCTACAAAGCTATATGAACCACCAAGTGGAAGTATTTCAGACTTTCAAGTATGGTTTACAACAGATGGAAGAAAGAGAATAATTCCATTATACCATGCGTTTTACTTAGAACTTAGTTTCATATACAACTACTATCGAACGGTAAAAATATAATTTTTTAATACGGTTGAGATGTTGGATTTGGTTGCCAACTAGACTGTGGTGCAGGTTCAGTGTTGTAATAACAGGAGCTTGTTCTTCTGGTTCAGGGTCTTTAGGTATAATACCAACGAACTGACCTACTCTTTTACCAATATTTTTGACACCGTTCCAAATTCCTCTTCCGACAGATTTTATTCCATTCCATATACCTCTTCCAACATTTCGAAAGAAGTTTCCTATTCTTCCAAAGAAACCATTTTACTATATGTAAAAATCTAATGTCCGCCTAGTCTCTTACGTTTCCTGTTGAGTTCCATAGCATTCTTTAACTGGAGCTCATACATTCTGTTTCTCCTCTGGTAGAAAACATATTCTGGGTCAACTCCTGTGTTCGCGTCATCTGCATAAAGTTGTTTATATCCCACTTCAGGGTTTGTATAAAACTCTTTCCATCTCATATTTGCATACCATGGTGGCAAACCTAACGCAGCGTCATTTGACATGGCAGTTTGCATTTGTACATCTGTTGGCACTTGACCATAGTTTGCCATTGCAGTTTGTATTCTAACTTCATTTGGAATATTCTCTGGGTTTGGTTGTCCAGGTTGCTGTGCATTCGCTAAGTTCTGTGCGTCCATTTAATATTAGATAAAAATATCTCTTACGAGTACATATACTGGACATTTGCAGGCATTGGTTCATCTTCATATTCTCTGTACCTTTCTGCCACGTCAAATAAATAAATGACACAATGGAAAAAACCTAAAACAAGTAGTCCTATTTCAAACCACATTTACTTACCAATAAAATTTCTTTGTTATGACACTTTCTCCGGTTTATAGGACCTCTCTCATATTCTATCTTGTCATATCTAAACTCATAGTCATGTATGTCCTCTAACCATCTCATAACGGTTTCCAAACCACTTTTATCGGATGTAAAGTAAAAGCATGGATGGTTATGTAAAACGTCTAAAGTTTCTAAAGAGTCTCTCAAAGTCCAGTCTACTTGGTATTGAAAATCCCATGTGTTATAGAACGGCGGGTCCACTATAAAGAAAACATTTTCCTTGTCTTTATATTTTTCATACAACTCTGTCCAATGACATCTCACAAACTCTATACCCTCAATATATTTTTCTATGTCCTCTTTGAAAACATTTGTATAGTTAAGATATAAAACTTTTGACATAAGTGTTTCAATGTCATGAACTCTTATAGAACCACTATATAATAGTCTAGCAGATATACTATCCCAGTCTATATATTCTGCTTTTTTCAAAACCTCTCTCACAATATTTTTGTTATCTAATGGTATACGTTCCATCTTACCTATAGGTATCTTTTCTTTTAACGCTTTCAATATATTGTTTGTGTCTGGTATATGTTTGAGACGGTCCATATAGTTGTCGAAGTCATTGCATATAATCTTTGAGTCTGGGAATATTGTATGGCACAAATGGGATATATAGAAACTTCCACCGAACAAATCTACAAATGTTAGACCATTCGGTAGTTTCTTAAGTTCTCTCAATAGAATATCTTTACATCTACTCTTATTTCCAAAGAAGGGTAACGGTGGTTTTGTAAAATTCATTTATATATAATAATAAAAATGTTTTTTCCTGAAAAGTGACAGAAAAGGCTTCTCAAAGTATACTTCCTTGGAACGCCCGTAACTTTTCCTGTAGCGACGATAGACCCTTACTTGTCCGGACAAAGTTGTACTATTTTGAGTGCTCTACCAAAAAAGTCAACGACGACGACTCTCAAAAATTTTTTATGGGCTAGAGGGCGCAACGCGCCTGGGAAGCCCCCAATACCCAAAAAACTTCATTTATACTAAACATCTTCAGGGCTAGAGGGCACGAAGTGCCTGGAAGCCCCACTACCTTTTTTTTTATTAGAGGAGGTGGGTTATGAAGTTAATAAATATTATTTAAGAAATTGTCAAAAATTCGCGGAGTTATTAAATGATTTAGATTATGATGGAAAAATGAATAAAGATGATGTTATAAATTTCTTATATCCTACATCTGAAGAAGAAAAACCTAAAGAACCTGATGTTTTCCCTGAATATTATGAAGAACGGATTAAAGATGATGAATACAATGAAATTGAAAGACTGAAAAAAATAAGAGATGAAATAGATGAAAAAATTAAGGAATTAAGAGAAGTTGAAAAATATAATGAAAATGAAGTAGAGGGTTTAATGAATATCCCAGCTTCAGAATCAGAAGTACAGAAATCTCATGAAGAAAGATATAAAAATTATGTCTCAGAATCAACACAAAATTTATTAGATGGTGAAATAGACGAAACACTTTCAGAAGAAGGTACTAAATTTATTCGTAAACATAAGTTACAATTTATTGATAATGAAGAATACCCTTGTATCTTACTTTCACCTCCTCTCGATTCTGAGAAATTCAAAAAAGCTCTTAAAAACGTGACATATGCAACTAATACGATTAAGAAAGAAGATCATGATATTTACACAAATTATTATTTAAATAAATGCACAGGTGTTGATAAAGTTTTTGATTTATTAGATAAAATATCAAAAGAAACCATTGGAACCTATAAAATTTTATGTGATTGCGGTTTCATTGTTGAAGATACTAATAATGTTTCATATGAAAGAACAGCACCGAAGGAAGATGAAGTGGAAATGTCTATACCATTCGTTATTAAGAATATAAAAGATATGAAAACGTATAAGCATTATATTTATTCATTTATTTCAGAAAAAACGGAAGCAACCCATAAAACATCTTCTCATCATTTTATAGCTATTCATACTTTCCTTTTCAAAGTTGTGAAATTAAATAAGACAGGAATTAGATTTAATGTGTCAGGATATGCATTCTTGAGTAAATTAAAATGTATTCGTCACGTCGCAGATGATAAAAATTTATGTGTTCTTAATTCATTTTACGGACTTTAAAAAAATAAACTTTATTTTTATTTATTTTTTAATTTTTTATTCTTACATAAATGAATAAAAATGGAACAGCTAAAATGAATGATAATCAAATAAGAGCAGAAGGTAGAAGGTTATTTAAACGCTTCTATAACATTCCTGATGGTGTTAATCCTAAAACTCGTAGAAGCTATTTAAATGAAGCAATAGATGCATATGAAGGGTTTGACATTTCATCAGAAAGTGAGAGATTAGCGAGAATGTTAAATGTTAATATTGATTTCTATTATTGTGATCCTCAACCAGAAGACGTGGACATAAATAAGGTAGACTTTCCATTAGTGGAATCAATAATGATAGATCCAGAATTTGAAACAGTAAATATTTTATTAACACAGAGTCCATGTGGAAAACTTCACGCTGACAGAATAACAGACGTAGAAGCACTCACCAGCTATAAAGTTTGTCCATATTGTAAAGAAGAAGTTTATTCTATCCGTGATGACCCAGAAAGAAAAAACCAAAGAAGATTTTTAAAGCATTGTGAGAAATGTAAAGAAAATAATGGAAGATTAATTCAAGACGTTCAATTGCAAAAGACCCAGCAACCATATGCACCACATATTACGAAACAGAAGATATATCAGTGGTTATTAGCTCACAATTTGCAGGAATATTATAAACCGACAAGATATTATATTACTTTTGACTTTGAAACATTAGAGACTAAAGAAGAATTACAACTTTCTGAGTGTGCAACTTTGAACGCTTACTTAAAACTATTCATGGTATCATCAACGGTTAAATTAAATGATAAAACATATACGAGGAATTTTTGTTTAACTTCGAGTGATTCTTTTATTTCTGACTGGATTGAATTTTTATTTTCAACCTGTTCATTAGTTGCTAAATCAAATATGAGTCAATACGATGAATTATTGAAGTCGCAAACGGCGGGGACTTTGTCCCATACATTAAATGAAAAACAGAAGGAAGCATTTAAAGAACTTCTAGATGAGGAATTCAATAAAGTGAATATCATAGGTTTTAATTCGGGAAAGTTTGATTTAAATTTAATTCTTCGTGATTTAAATACTGCAAAATGGAAAATAAAATCAATGCTGGGTTCATCTTCACAATTTAAGCAAATCATTGTAAAGAAAACAAACGTTCCATATGAATTAAGATTTATTGACATCAGAAATTATATAGCGGGTGGAACATTAGATCAATTCACTCAAGATTTCGGAAAATAATAAACACGTGTTAAATCCTTTTTCCCTTATCAATTCATCACGTGGGAGAATTACGAAGAAGAATTATATAAAGTGGAACCATTCACTCAAGATTCATTTTATTCAGCATTAACTCAAGAAACTATATCAGATAGTGATTATCAAATATATCTCAATGATGCTAAAACTTTAAGAATAGATTAGAATATTTTATTCATTATTGCAATAAAGATGTTGAAATTATGATTGACCCAATTGATAAAATTATTGAAGAAACATTTGTTTATAAAATTGACATGCTTCATAATCTTTCTTTATCATCGAATGCTTCAATGATTCGTTACGCTTTAGCATATAAAGACTTTAATCATAATGAAAAATATCCTGAGGAAGAGATAGAATCAAGTTTTGAATTAACGAAAAAGTATTGGAAATATAAAATTGAATCATATAAGAAACAAGATGAAAAAGCAGAAAGAGATACTAAAAATAATGTTTCAATGGATGATTTTCAATACTATCACGATTTAATCCTTTCATCTAAATGCAAAATGTGTGGTAAAGCGTTTACATATGCAAATAAACCAACATTGGATAGAATCGATAATGAAAAACCACATACCAAAGAAAATTGTCAGTTAATGTGTTGTTATTGCAATGTCGTAAAATCAAATAAAGATGAAGATGTTCAACGTTTAAGAATCAATTTAAGAAATTATGCATTAAAAAATAATTTACCAATGACATTAGATTCAGTTGAAGCTTATCACATTCTCCGTAATGGAATTACTGGTGGTCTATCAAATGTTCAACATCGTGTTAATCTTAAAGGAATCACGCACATTAATAAACTTTCATATAGTCCAGAAACTAAAACTGTATCAAATGAGGACACTTCCAACATCATGACTCATTTCGTTGGTGTTGATTTTAATTCATTATATCCTTCATCATTTTCATCTAATCCTCATGATTTCATTCAATATACTGACCATAAAATGTATATGCCGGGAAGATTGAATGGTGTTATCATTTGTGATACAGCAACAAAGAAAGCAAAAGCACTGGGAATAATTAAGAAGAAAAATACTTTATTCGTGGCTGAAGTAAAGGGTCACATTGATGAAAAATACATTAATGATTACATAAACTTTTTACCGATAATAAGAAACTTAGATATTATCACAGATGAAAAAACAATTGGCAGTTTTATGTATAATTACATGAAATCAAACAATCTACCAGTTGACCAGAAACAGAGGAAATTAACTCAGTTAGCATCAACACACAACCAATATCAACCATTTTCTTCTTATTATCTTTGGTATCTAATAGACAGATTTCATTTTATCATCGATGATATTCAATCAATTTTAACATTTACGAAAAACACTTGTTTTAATGAATTTGCGAACGAATTTATGAACGAAAGACAAAAGGCTGAATTAGAAGGAAATAAAGGAAAAAGTTTATTTTGCAAGATTTCACTTAATGGATCATATGGTTACGATGCAATGAATACGCAAAATTACGCAAAGACTAAAATAATGAATGCACAGAAGGCACGCGTTGCATGTATGTCAAATAAGTTTAAAAACATAAGAGAAATAGGTGAAGATACATATCAAGTGATGCTTAAAGATAGATTTTATAGATGTGATACATGTTTACAAGAGACATTCTTCACTTTAGATAATGCTAAATACTGGTATTTGGTTTTCATTTATGATTTTATGTATAAATGCATGAATGTTAATCGTTTTCATTTCATTGAAGGTGATACTGATTCATCTTATTGGGCAATCGCTGGCGACCCAAATCTTCCTAACACTCAAGCATTTCAAGCAATTGTTACCGATAAACAATTTTATGATAAAAACATTTTCAAATTCGCACCATTTGATTTCTTCTGTTTTAATGAGAAATTTAAACCTAAATTAAAGAATAAAGCTGAAGAAAAAGCACATGAGAAGAAGTTATTGGGTTTAGCAATTGAGAAACAAGGTGATAACATGGTTGCTTTATGCCCCAAGTGTTATACATCATTCAACGGTTCAATTGATGGAAGTGATTTTAAAAAGATTGCACAAAAAATGAAAGGTGTTAGTTTACGACAAAATAAACAATTAACACCTAAAAATTATTTGGATATAATAAATGATAAAGTGATATTTGATGGTCAGAATATTAATTTACAACTTAAAAACGGGTCAATGACTCGCTTAACAATCGGTAAGACTGCATTAACAGGAGCACACACTAAGGCTGTATGTTGTGAAAATGGATGTTGTATGCCATTTATTTAATACAATTTAAAAACGTAGGGGTTGAGTCATGAATTTAAAATTTTATTTTTAATAAAATGCCACAGAAGAGACAAAAGGAACCAAATCGATTTATACCAAATGGTTTTAACTTTCAGATTCCAAATAATCAACTGCAACGAATTTTTCAAATCCCACCACAGCATCAACAGCAGCAACAACAACAACAACCACCACAGCATCAACGGAGAAGAACATTAACCCCTGAAGAAAGAAATTTCAATAATTTGATGCGTCAACAAAATCAAGGTTTGAGATTTTATCCGGGCAGTAATGGTATACATATAAGGCATCCAAATTTAGATAGAAGATATACCACTGAGATTCATATTTTACCTAATAATACGGTTAATTTTGCTGGATTTTATGATCATCATCAGGAAATCTGGACTCCACCATTTGATACCGTTTTAGAAGGAGGAACCGTTAATGATGCAATTCAATATGTAAATAATGGTTTTGATACTATGATTCAAAGAGGTGGGCACCCTTAAAACATTTATTTTATTTTTATATAAATGGATAACGCAGATTTAGAAAATTTAATTGATGATTTAGTACTTAATCAAAATTTTCTTAATTATTATGAATTAAAATCATATCTCCAAAAACATAATAAAAATATAACGGGTGATGATATGGATTATTATTATTCGTATTATAAAAATGAAATTTTGAAATATCATGATAAAATAATTTCTGAAATTAAAGACAAAATTAAAAATAATGAATATACAAAGGGAAAAACTAAATCACAACTTAAACAGTTGAAAGATTTCAAAAATAAAGTATTAACAGAAGAAGATATTGATGAATTATATAAATTATATAATCCTGAGCCGCAAAAACCAAAGGAACAAAAACAAAAGAAGAAAAAGCCGAGCTCTAAAGTAGCAAATGTTCAACAGCTAAAGGTGCAAAACGCCCAGGTCCTTCAGACCATAAATGAAGCACAAGCTTTAATTTATGATTCATTAGTTAAACCATATTCAGCCCGACTTTTAAATAAAGATCAACCTTTGGAATTCATCCTTCAACATAAACTCGAAGCGGGAAAGTATATCAAACCTTTATATACAGCATATTTAAAACAAATGAATAGAATACATCCAGAATTAATGAAGGGAGGAATGAAATCCAAAACTTCATCATCCAAAATCAAAGCAGATAAAATTAAACCACTTGCAACACCAAAACCTCCAACGGTAGTACCTCCTCCTTCAGTTAATCCTTCATCATTCACTTTATTATATCCATTTCAAACATTAAAGAAGCAAAAAGATTTTAAAAAGGATTTCAAGATATTAAATAAACCAACTGACCCAAAAATTCAACCGTTAAAGGAAAAATTTAGTCGCCCTTCATTTGCTCCATATCCATATTCATACGAAATAGATCATTTAGAATATTCAAAAGGAAACGTTACTTATTTATTCGCCATTAACATTAACACTAGATATTTATATTGCATTCCGGTGAAAGGGAAAACAGAACAGGAAACAAGAAGAGCTATTCAATACTTACTAGATCATGAAAGAGTAGATAATATCAGGGGTGATGGTGATAAAGGATTTTAGGCAGCTATGATTCATTATTTCCCACAAATTAATTTTTACTTTTCATCCTCTCCATATACGTTTCATAATAAAATAGTTGATGCAGTAATGAGAACTCTTAGAGATGCGTTAGGGGTTAACGGTCAGATATACTGGGATGGAAATCATGACTCCATCATACAGCAGTTAGTATATTATTACAATAATACATGGCATAGAACTATAAACATGAAACCAGTGGAAATGAAAAATGATATTTCAAAAAAATGGGAATATATTAGAAAGCAAATGGAAAGGTTAAATGATGTTAAACGTGAACAAATTAATTCGGGGCTCATGAATTTTAAACAAGGGGATAAAGTTTTGATTCATCTCGATTAAGGAAAAACTGATAAATCAATGACAAAAAGAAGACAAAGATTTGACACAATAGCTGAATTTGTTAGATATATTAACGGCAATGCATTAA